TGGATCGGGGTCTTTTTGGCCAAACTGGTTCAGTGTCAGCATCACTTGCAAAAAATGGCAGGAGTTTGCCTCCTCCACAGCTTTGTCCAACAGGCTCATTATGAATGGCAGGTCCTGCCGCAACACATTGAACCTTGCCGTGTTGCTGGTCCCCTGTTTCTGCAGAGTAGGCCTGCTCTTGTCCCTAGCAGAGAGGCCCCGGAGCAACCGTTTAAAGTTGTCTGTCACACTGTTAAGCAGCTCTACAGCATGTGTACCATAGAGCTGCTTCTTCAGTAGCCTGGTGTCAGGGTCAGTGGTGCTGCTGGGTACTGCAGTCATTAATAGATGATAGCCGCCATCTACATGAGCTATCTGGTACCCTACGCAATTTTTAAGGGCAGTCAAGCCATTTGTTGTGTACTTGCTGAGATCTACATGCTTTTTTAGGTATACATAATGGGGGCTTAGTATCAGTGAGTTAAACCTTGGGAGGAAGATGTAATGAAGAAGTCCTTGTAATGCCTGCACCTTGTTGAACTCAATCACTAGTCCATCCACATCAAATGAGAACGAAAGTAATTGTTCTGGGTGGGACAGAGTGGTGGCATGTAAACCAATACGCAGGTCAGCATGCAAAAAATCACTGATGGTTGCATATTGCTCGAAGGCATCCAGTAGATTTTCCGTGTTTACCACTCCAACGTCAAACAATTCACTGCTAGCCATGAGCAGCAAATTGTAAGGTTGCTTAAGCCTACAGAGGGGTATGTTGCAGAGCTCAGATATAGCCACAAACGCCAGTGGAAGTTCTGGGGTTCTGGAAAGAAGAACAAAAAATACATTATCATTCAACATCCAGAAAAATGATCAATGTTTATCATTAAAGGGACAAACTGAAAGCAACATTTGAGAAGTGGCCAAATCAGTCAGAAATCTATGTGTCACAGTGTAATCAGGGGAAGATTAACATTTACCTTTGGTGCAAAATATTTTTGCTCAAGTGACCTTATCTATGTTACAGACCTCCATTAAGCTAGGATGCTCAGCTAAAATCTCATGCCAACTATTTTTATCTAAACCAAACACACATAAAACACCAAGCGTCTAAGCGAGCTTAAAGCACAACATGTCGCTCTGTTAAGAGTGTACATCCCTGCTTGTACAACCATCCAAATATCTCTCATCTTACACACACACATGCGACCACTCCACTGAAAGTTGAGCACCTGCTGACATCAGCTGTATCATATCGCTATAAAACACAAACTCATGGACCAATCAGTCAGATGAAACTAACAAACGCACAGAAAGCAGCGTCCCAACAGAATGCAGTTTCACACAAAGTAAAAAAGAAAAGGCGTGAAGAAAACATCAGCCGATCCAGAGCCTTAACTCTGTATTGGAGAAACAAAAATCTGCTTTGAAAAAACAGACAAGAGAGTTTCACGCCGTACAGGTGAAGAATGGACTAAACAAGATGGCTCAGAGCGCTACACATAGGGACGCTCGGTCACACCCCTTGTCGTCGCTTTGTAATGTCCTTATCATAACACACAGAGTACCACAACTCAGTGTCACACTGATTTCACTTATTTTCATGTACTACAGTTTGAAGTACATTTGTTGCCAATTGACTGTTTGATTTAAAAAATCTTTTTGAGATTATTTTCTTAAGAATAGTCAAATGTGTCTAATAATATGGATTATTAAACATATAAGACGGTAATTGTCCGAATTGGTCCCGTGTGCTGGTAACAGATCTTAGGACCCAAATGCACGACATGTAACTAGGCAGATTGGTTCTTCTGTTTTCATCAAAGACTCACTTACAGAAAACCAGAGAGAAGACCAAAAAGCAGAAGCCCAAACTGAACTGAACACACCCACATACAATGTGCAATGCAGTACAATGCAGTGACAGTAGTATTTTAAAGCCATATCATGTATATAACATTTAGATATCAAGCTGTGGTGAATGAAGCATGTCCTTTACTTAAGTAAAAGTACTAGCAGCTCACTGTAGAAATACTGTTGCAAGTAAAAAGCACTGCCTTGAAAATAACAATTAAAAGTATGGAAGTTTAAAAGGGGAAATGTAGTATTATTTTTATTATGGATTAATCCACTGATTAGTTTCTGTGATAATTCATTGTAAAAATTCAATATTTCTTTGTTTGTCAGTCTAAAGCATAAAATAATTACAAACGGTTGGAAACAAATGAGATTTCATTTTACACTACTCATTTATTCTTGTTGATGGGATGATTTCATATTCCTTCAAGTATTTTTACATTGTGATATAGCTTGTAACTCCAACAATCATTGAGCAAAGGCACCATCTCCTGGACAAAATCTGAAAGACACGTTGAGCAAGAAACCTTGTCAAGCCAGGACCGGCAAAGGTTAACATTAACTTGCATATAAAAACGATTTGCCAATTTTTAGTCTGCACAAACTGAATCAACGGTTGGGTCGAAATATTTAAGTAGCACATATCGGCACAGTGCCATCCTGGCTCTGGCTAAATCTACATCTGTCCACCGCAGAGGCTCCATCCACAACCTGGAGGAGGAACTAGGAGAAATGACTGTGTAACTAAATCTTTCAACCTCAAACAAAAATAATAACGTTATATTATCAAAAATATACGTGTAGGTTACACTTTATTTGGCTAATGTCTGCCCACAGATTCTTTATAGTAGTGTTACAATAGTATTTGTAACATTTCAACAGCAACAACATTTCATCGTCATTTCAGAATTACAGCAGTTCACTCAAGTAAAAGTCATCCAGTATAATACAAGAGAAGTACCTGGTTTTAAAAGTACTTAAGTATCAAATGTAAACGTACTACGAATTCAAATGTATAGATCTGATTAAAAGCAACCTATCTTTCTAAATACAGTGTGAGTTACACCGAGTCCCAGCAAGGCAAGTTATATTTTCTGAGCTGCAGTTTCTAAACACCACTTCTCATCAGCATTTATCAATAAATGGTTGTATTTCACTCCAACATTGTTCATATACAGAGGCTGGAAAGCAACCAAGACAGGGACAGACAACAGATGCGTTGCTAAACTCGGTTAGACACACAGACTAGAAAGGCACATTGACATTACTGTTATCAGCTGACATCAGACTTTCAGAGTAGTGAACACATGTTTATATTTGCATTTACTCACTTGGCTTTTATCCAAAGCAACATTTGAGGTACATATGCATCAACAATGCATCAATACAGCACAAGATCTACAACTGACAGTACATATTACTTAGGCAGCAATAAATAGTAGTAAGAGCTTACCTGACTGCTGTGCCCGAAGCTCACACTCAATGAGTTTTTCTCTTCTTGTGCCTCTAGTTCTCTCATTAAAGGAAACACTCGCTTTCACCTTTTAATATAGCCGAGAGGAGGCCCCGCCCACGTAACCTTTCCCCAAGTGGTCACTGTAAAGGAGAGAAGAACTTTGGAAACCGTGTTTACAAGGTTGGAGAATTGGTGAGATGGTTTCCATGAGGCCCACTTTAATAAAAATGGATTAAAACAGCCGCACAGCTGTGGTTACCGTTAGCTCCTGCTAGTCTGGAGGTAGTCACACACAGTAAGGTTACTTTACTAAAACATGTCATGAAAATATGTATTTGAGTGTAGAGAGTACAAAAGTATTTTCTGAAAAGGGTAATGTAAGGGTAATGTCTCAGTAGCCATCCGGATCTGTGTCCTTGTGCACTGTGGTGGAAAGATGCATATGTGTATACACATTTTACAGGTTTATCTGTGTCTTTCAGAAGCTGGGAAGAAAAGAGGCTTCCATCTCAGGATGCCCTGGAAGTGGTGAGCACAGGTGCACAGCAGAAATCTAGCATCTCACAGTATGGGGTTCAACTTCTCTAAACTTTCTTCCTTGAAGCCACTAACATCTAACCTTGAGTGAGAGGTCGACAGCCTTCCAGATATCTCCTGGCTAGTGTAAGATTGTGTCCACTGTTTATATATATGTACATATTTGTTCATGTTTTACATTTTATTTGTATCTTTGTATTTATATTTTAATAAATGGTTTGTTTGGTTTTTTGGCCAACCCCATGTGACTGTTTAAAGTTCATGCCCACACATTTTCTTTAACATTCGCAGCCAACCTTGTTTATGTTTTACGTTTTTTTTGTATGTATTTTTTAATAAATGGTTTGTTTGTATAAAATGTATTGCTTCCTTTCTTCGTGTTCTTTATGACACCAGCATTTCCAAGGAGCTTTCATGGGTTGGTTTCCTGATTTGGCTAAATTTCGCTCACTTTAGTCCATCAGTGTCCTTAACATGACACTGTGTCAAGGGGCTTTAAAGGGCTGCAGAAGCCTGATGAATAAGAGCAGTGCTAAGTACATTTACTCAAGTACTGTACCTGGGTACACATTTGAGGCACCTGTAATTTACTTGGGTATTTCCTTTTCATGCCTATTTCTCCTTCACTACATGTTACCGAAGAAATTTGTACAGTTTACTCCACTTTATGGCAGCTTTATTTACCAAGCACTTTATACATTAGGATGTTTTAGTCACATGAAGGGTGTGTAAAACACATATCTAGGGAAGGTTAAAGCCAGTAGTAAAACACAGTTTTTTAAACATACCATAACATTTAAAATGACAAGATGTGCTGGGTACTCTTTATAAGGTTGGGACTGTTTGCAGGATGGGCGCTTTAGGCGCTGGGTCGCTGGAGGCATTTCTCACGATTTTCAGTTGCAGTCGATTAATGGAGAACATTTTTAAGTTAATAGTCAGGGGTTAGTGTGGGTGTCATACTGAATCTCCGCTTTGCACAGATTTGATGTTTCTGACCGCTGATTCGCTTATTCCATAATTTTAAAGACAATTTGTGTGACCTTTGAAAAACGTTAATTTAAAATGTTGCCATGCTTTACGTCCTTTCCACAGCGTCCTCGTCAAACCGTCTTCATAACATTTAACAAGGCTCTACGTCCTTTCCACAGCGTCCTCGTCAAACCGTCTTCATAACATTTAACAAGGCTCTACATCCTTTCCAAAGCGTCCTCGTCAAACCGTCTTCATAACATTTAACAAGGCTATACGTCCTTTCCAAAGTGTCCTCGTCAAACCGTCTTCATAACATAAGACAAGGCTCTACGTCCTTTCCAACGCGTCCTCGTCAAACCGTCTTCATAACATAAGACAAGGCTCTACGTCCTTTCCACAGAGTCCTCGTCTAAACGTCTTCCTAATGTGTGGCTTTCCTTAACATCCTTGCCAGAACGTCTTCACAACATGTGGGCAGGCCTTCTGAATTGGGCTTTCCTTAACATCCTTGCCAGAACGTCTTCACAACATGTGGGCAGGCCTTCTGAATTGGGATGTGCCCCTAATTTTGATAGGCAGCTTGTGTCCCCAAATAAATGTCCCAGCAATTTAACAGTGTCAGTCTTGGAGGAGTTTTGATGCTGAGGAGACGCAACACAGTAAACTTTTTCTTCTCAGTTTGGATTTCTGGTGAGTATCTTTATACTAATCCAGAGTTGTAAAATCTTTGCAAGGACATACAGACTTTGAATGTGTGGTCAAATTTAGCTCCTGCTAGTCTAGAGGTGGCTTTACTAGTAACCTGTAATAACATTAAGTCCTTACCTCTTGGGGTTTGTGAAAGGTGTAATGCTTACTAAATACTTGATTTTCACCTGTCCACTTATTTCTCCACAGAAAAAGGTTGACAATGAAGCGCTGCCCGTTGTGCAGAGTTCCCTATGCCAATCGCTCAGAGCACCTCAGGAGTGTGCACGGGATCACAGATCATAAACAGCGCATACTCATGCTGGGAATGGCTTCAGGAAGGTAAGTGAAACGCACGCAAACGCAAACACACTACATAGGCTGCTGATTGCTGTGCTGAAAATGTCTGACTATGTTTGTTTAGATACGCAGGCCCACTAGGCTGCCCAATGTCAGAATGCCATGGAAAAAGCTACGTCCGCCTGGACCGGCATTTAAGGGTTGTGCACAGTATGGAGGTGGGTATTTGCACTTTTGTAAAAACAATTGCTGTTGCTTTGCAGACCCGGTATCAATAAATTGACTGCTCTATAATGTAAGTTGTTCAGATGCCACAGATCTCACCCAATGTTCTGTGTTCACAGAAGGATGCCAGGAAGTTGCTCCTGGAGGAGACCAAAAAAAAAGCAATTGCATCCCAACTGTCTGCCATGAGGAAGAACAAAACGCCAGCAGGTTCAGCCAGCCAGCCCCCCACCCCAAAGAAGCACAAAAAAGACTTTGGTTTGTAAAGTAATAATGTACTCTTATCAATTACTCAGCCTGCATTGCCCTGACATTTCAGTAACACTCTGTTCGTTCTTCTTCTTCTCTGGTTTACAGAGTACCTGATAGTAAAGTTCTTGAGGTCCGGGCCGAGCAGGAGGGGTAAACGGCAACTTAAGAAGGCTGTGAAACATGTCAGGCGTTTTGTACATCACATGTGGGGGATGAAAAGCCCTCCCCCGTCCCACCTCATGTTTTTAAAGAGGACAGGGAAGGTCTTAAGGTAAATGTTGTTATTTTGATTTGGCTCTTATGGTTTGGTAACTGCTGACATCAGTGTGACACTCTTGCTTTTTCTGTTTGTTAGGTGGATAGCTAAGCTGAAGAGGCAGAGCCTGGCAGAAACCACAAGGGGCTACCTGGTAGCCATCAGGAGGTTCTTGACGTTCCTGAGGCGGGAGGACTTCTCCCAGGTAATGGTGCCCTCTGTCACTGGAAAAAGCACTGTATGAAGGTTCTGTCTACAGCATGTGTTCCAGGTCCTCAATGTATGACTGTATTTCTTCCTCAGGTCCGTCTGTCTGCAGCACAGATAATGTCCCTGGACAGGGTGCTGATAAGAGAGCTCTCCAACCTTACAAAGCAGACCGGGACCCACCAGCAGGGAGAGGTGCAATCTGGTGAGTTTGAAGTTTACTACCACTACTAATACTTCTACTACTTTGTTTAATGGTTATTGTCAGACTGGGTGGCAGCTCATAGCTATTATGGAATGCTTTAACAGAGAAGCTTCCCTCACCAGAGCAGATCTGCTCCTCATTCGAGCAGTGCCACTAATATGCTGTTACCATTTTTTCACTAATTGGTCTTTCAGAAGATGGGAAAAGGCAAAAAACAAATTCCCTGGAAAAAAGCAGAGAGGATGAAGCTGCCAGGCAGGTCTCTGAAGCCGCTGAAGAGTCAGAGGACAGCACCTCCAGTACGGCTGGGACCTCAGACCAGTCTGATGATAGCAGCTCCGGGACGGCTGAGACCTCAGACCAGTCTGATGATAGCAGCTCCGGGACGGCTGAGACCTCAGACCACTCTGATGACATTAGCCCCGGGACGGCTGAGACCTCAGAGCCACCACCAGCTCGTGTTCCTGGGTCCACTAGCTACTCAATGGACACTGCAGAGCCTGTTACATCTTTTGTTGGTTCACCTCAGCCACCACCACTGCAGCCTCAGCCGCCAATACCGAGTGAGGTCAGTGAAATGGAGCACACATGGGAGGCCTTAGAAGAGCCAGAGGACAGCAGCTCCAGGACGCTGAGACCTCAGAGCCACCTCAGCCACCACCACTGCAGCCTCAGCCGCCAATACCGAGTGAGGTCAGTGAAATGGAGCACACATGGGAGGCCTTAGAAGAGCCAGAGGACAGCAGCTCCAGGACGGCTGAGACCTCAGAGCCACCTCAGCCACCACCACTGCAGCCTCAGCCGCCAATACCGAGTGAGGTCAGTGAAATGGAGCACACATGGGAGGCCTTAGAAGAGCCAGAGGACAGCAGCTCCAGGACGGCTGAGACCTCAGAGCCACCTCAGCCACCACCACTGCAGCCTCAGCCGCCAATACCGAGTGAGGTCAGTGAAATGGAGCACACATGGGAGGCCTTAGAAGAGCCAGAGGACAGCAGCTCCAGGACGGCTGAGACCTCAGAGCCACCACCAGCTCATGTTCCTGGGGATGCGGCAAGCAAAACTGAAGTCACACCGGAGGCGTGCCTGACCTTACAGGAGAGGGAGGAAAGCAGCGAGTCGGATGAAGAGGAGCAAAAAGTTGTAAGCACCAATGCACAGCATAACTTAGTATCTCACTATATGGGGTGAACTTCTCTTACCTTATCTTTTTTAACTTGCAGGTAAAGAATCCTTCTAAGAAGTTGCTGAAGGTAAGCCACACCACTTTTTCTATATTGTTACATGGATTTTTACACCCAGTCTATACATGTGGCATATACATTATTAAAAATTTTGAATTTGATTTTGCAGAGACACATTTCACACCGTCACACAATCGTCATCAGACGCATTATAATTGGATGTACATTAGACCCTGTCAACCATTTCAAATATTCTCTATCAATCTTTGAATTAATAAAGAAACATTGCATATTGCCAAAAATTTGATTAGCTTATTCCATTTCATGTTTTCTCAAACCAGGAGGGTGGTTATCGGCTACCAGCATTTTACACCCTTTTTAAAACCTCTCCCATGTAACTTTATTTCAGCCAAGGAGGCTTTATGAGTACCATGGTCCTCTCTACCACCAATCAACAACATCAGCACATGGGTCCCAGCCAATGACAACGCGGCCACAGCCACAACCGCAGCCGCAGCCACAGCCACAGCCGCCATCGCCATCACCATCACCACCAAGTGAAGGCAATTTAAGCAAGACGGAGGACACAGAGGAGACTGACACCCCAGATGATTCGGACGACAGCACGTGGTCACCTGATGAGTCAGAAGAAGGGTTGACAGCTGATGATGCACAAGAAGTGGTAAGCGTCTATGCACAGAGTAACTTAGCATATCACAGTATGGGGTCAACTTCTCATACCCAAACTTTTCTTCCTTGCAGCTGCAGAGTCCTCTCAAAAAGTCACGCCGGGTAAGCCATCCCACTGTGGTCTGCATTATTATTTGGATTTTTATTTACTGGTATACATTTCAGTGTAAATTTTCTTTGGGGAAATGAATTAACATGTCACACTGTCAAAAATTGTTTTCTTATTCCAGAAGAGTGGTTATTGCCTGCCCAAAGTGAGGAGTCCCAGTTCATCAAAAACTGTAAGGATAATGCAAGAAATTCTTTAGCTGTACTTGAATTTTTTTTTTTCATACACTTACACTTTCTTACTGCTCCCTTTTTCCTGTGTTTCAGAAAAGGAGGGTTTTAACGTACCCAGATGACCTCAAAGATGATATCCGGAGACTGTTCCGTGATGTGTGGAGTGACACCATAACCGTTAGAATGGTAAGTATCACAGTGTTCCTTGTGACGGACATGGCGTCTAACTTAGTTGTGTAATAAGGATAATTTCCCAGAGAACAACTTCTCTGTTTTCCCTTTTGGAAGGATTACACCTGATTGCATGCACAGTTAAAGCATACAAATGTGTTAACAAAAGACTTTCAGACCGGATTATACTTGAAATATTATCTTACAGACTGTAAACTTTTCCAGGCTGACACCTTTCCACTAAACATTTCCGATTGCTTGTTTGCTGTGTTTGATTTTTAGATGAATGCTGTTCTCAACAGAGAGCCAGCGCTTCTGCAGAAATGCCAAAAACTGAAGTTGACTATACACAATTTACGTGGTCTTGTTCTAAAATTGCAGGCAGAGTGATTTTTAAATTTTGTTTATGGAATATCTTTTTGGCAGCTGTTTTTATATTGCTTTTGTGTATGTTTTCTTGTTTCATGTTAATATTATGTTTATTTCATATTCATTTCATTGTGGTGTGACTTATCAAATATGTTGAACATGTTTGTGTTGAATTTAATAAATGTTGAATACTTTGAATTTAATACCTTCCTTTTGTCTTTTTTATTTTGATTAGATATTGTTTATTTATCATTGCTGACATTGTGACTTTATTGGTGCAGAATTTAGCTCACATGCTGCAGAATACACATTTGGTCACTAGATGGAGCCAAATGAACATCTTACAACAAAACAGTAGTCACTGTCCTTTTCATGCCATCTACTTCAGGGCTCAGAGAGAAGTGACTTTTTACTCCACTAAATTGATCTATATAAATGTAAAACTATTCTTAGACATTGTGTAAAACACAAGGTGTTTTTTTTACATTCAACATTTGACATGATAACAAAGGTAGAGTTGTTTAAAAACTATTCAAACAATGAATCCTTTCTAACTGATAGATTAACATTGTTTGTGGCACATGAATATTATTTAAGCAGGGACTTTTCACATCTGAGAACTGTCATTTCTTTAAACTAAAGGAGGAGGTTATTACCAGAACTGATACACAAACTGGGGTTAGAATAAGACAAAGGCCACTTGTGTCAGAATAGGGGGAAAGGGAACCTGTGAGTCTTTTAGAAAAGTCTTACTCGAGCAGACGCATTTTTCTATGACTTTATGAACACAATACATTACGTTTTGGGAAGTAGCGCCGTCCCATGGAGCATGTTAACAGCAAGCAAAACAGCAAAGTTACGTCACAGTGTGTAGCTCTAAATGTATGATCATACTTGGATCCTAGCTGAGTGTCCTAGCTTTATGTGTGTCATGTGATTAGGTGGAAGTCAAACTAAATTTGGAACATCTCCATTAAGTGACACCTTCCAAGCACTGTGAAGGTGTCACTTTGGGCTCTGAGTAAACAGCACGTCTCACCATTTTCAGAGGTTAAAATGACAATTTAATTTCATTTATTTGTTTATTTGACAGTGGTTGTTAATAAACAGCAAAGTAACTGTGAATGAGCCAGAGTCAGCTCAACAGGCTGATTTCAAAAATGGACAACTGTATATGAGATGAAAAACTATCTTGCTCTTCACAGCTGTCTCGCCGCCGCTGTCTCCCGGGGGGCCACAGAGTTTCTTCATGGCTCTCCGCTCCAAACCCTGAAGTGGTGGGGCGACAAGGGGAGAGTCCCTGAGATAGATTAATGCTTCTAACCCCAACTCTCACTTAACAAGAAACAACTAAAATAATTAGTAGGATGGTTTATGGATTAGCATTTTCTCAGTTTCCCTAATTCCATTGTCACAAACACAAATCCTAAAAGTAGACAATATTACACTTGTATCAGTAGTGCAGACAAATCATGTATATGACATATGGTTTCAACTTATTTGTTTTAAGGGTGGGTTTTACAGCTGTATGTGTTTCCCTGTGCTTTGTCCATGTTCCTCTTCTGCCCTCTAGTTGTGCCTCAGGAGTGCTACAGCTGATTGCTGCATGAGATCCACCTGGCCTTGGACGGCGGTCTTTGAAAGCACCTGTGCCAGCATCAGAAGAGAGGTTATTTGAGTTGGGACTGCTGCTCTTGCTTCCTCTCAACCTCTGAGTTGCTTTTAAAGGTGTTTATCTGGGTTTAATTTGGGTTAAAGTTGGCTAATTTGTGTGATGCCACGCCCGTTTCTTGCATTTTGTAATTTCCAACTACAGCATTCAGGCTGTCCAACTGATGTGAAACTAATAAAGACAGACGCTAAAGCTCACTAATCACAGAGTCAAAGAGAAACAACAACAACCATTGAGACAGGATACAAAGGATTAACACTGTTTCTGTAAAGCAGGGTAATATTCCCTGGTCAATGTTACAATCATTAAAAAGCACAAAGCCTCAAAGTAGTATTACACATGTATCAGTAGGTCAGACCAAATATGTGCATCACATACAGTATCCATTCTTTATTTAATGGTTGGTAATTCCTGTGTTGTAAATTGTTAATTGCTCTGGGTTAATTTTTTATTTAAAAAAAACACATCCACATGGACTGCGTTGACGTGGCACAGGGGCTTAAGTGCCTCAGACATCTAGAGGATGCATCTAGAGGTTGCCAAAAACCTGATAAAGCGTTTGACGCATAAGGTACCCTTCTGCTTCTGTATCAAAACACAGTTTTAAAGTGTAGTCTTCAGCATCAGTATTAAGCACCTTTAGGTTAAGAAAATCTTCATAGATTCTATTGGGTTTTGGCACATTAAGCTACTTGGTTAGGTTCAGGAAAAGGTCATAGTTTTGGTTGGGTTTAGGAAAAGGTCACAGTCTATGTTATGTTTAAGCAAACAAACGACTTAGTGAAGTTTAGAAAAAGATCATGTGTTGTAAAAACTAAAATGTTTAGATATCTGAAGACAAAACCCTGTAAAAGAAAGAATAAAACCTTAAGTGAATGTTGGAAATTAGTCTTTTTGATGTTCTTATTAAAGTGTTTTTGGAGTTTATGAATTTATTATACTACTAGCACCCTGATGGGCTTTAAGATATTTGAAGGAAAAAGACGAAAACAAACAAACAAACAACAACAACAAAAAATATATATATAGAAAATGCAAAGAGGTAAATAATCTCCTTTGAAAGGCCTGAATCTAGGCATTAACATATGCCTCTATTTTTAGAGTGGAACACGTGTGTGTGTGTGTGTGTCTATATATACACACATATATGTGTGTGTGTGTGTGTGTGTGTGTGTGTATACATATCTTGCAAACCCCGGTTGCCCTGGCCTTTCTGTGTGGAGTTTGCATATTTTCCCAGTGTCTGTATGGGTTCTCTCTGGGTGCTCTTGCTTCCTCTCACCGTCCAAAGACATGCAAACTAGGGGAAATGGTGACCCTAAAT